CCCTCAATTGGAAACATCATCCCAAATATTCATCACTTCACAAATGGTCCTTTAAAGCAAAGTACAGCACCTAGAAAGATGGCTCAATGGCTCAATGGTTAAGAGTACTGGCTGTTCTTCCAGACAACCTGGGTTCTGTTTTCCTATATCCACATGATGATTCACAACTGTCTGTACCTACAGTTCCAGAGGATCCAACAGCCTCTTCCCCTTCATGAGCACCAGGCACAGGTATACACATGTGGTATACCAACATACAAGCAGGCAAAACAGACATATACTTAAAAAGTAAATAATAATAATGATAAAAATTTAAAAATATTACACACAGCTGTCTGTGTCCATGGATTTCATGTGTGGGTTCAACAAACCTTTGATTGAAAATATTAAAAAGAAGCTAGACGTGGCTCACATCTGTAGTTCCAGAACTTGGAAGGCTGAGGCAGAAGGATCATGGGTTCCTAAACTACATGTCTCAGAAAAGAAAAGAAAATCTTGCTGTCCTGAATAGTTTGACCCAGGCCAAAGTCATGTGAGAGAGGGAAACTCAATTGAGAAAATGCCTTCATTAGTTGGGGCTGTTTGAAAGCCTGTGGGGCATTTTCTTAATTAGTGGTTGGTGTGAGAGGGATCAGCCATTGTGGCTTTAATCTCAGCACTCAGGAGGCATAGGCTGGCAGATCTCTGAGTTTGAGGCCAGCCTGGTCTACAGAGAAAGTTCCAGGACAGGCTCCAAAGCTACAGAGAAACCCTGTAAAAAAAAAAAAAAAAAAAAAAAAAAAAAAAAAAAAGGCGGGCGAAAAAAGCCAGTAATCAGCACCCCTCCATGGTCTCTACATTAGCTCCGAGTTCCTCTCCTGACTTCCTTCAGTGATGGACAGTGATTTGGAAGTGTAAGTCAAATTAACCCTTTCCTCCTCCAGTTGCTTTGCTCACGGTGTTTCATCACATCAATAGTAACTCTAACCAGATACCTGCAGGTCTCTGTGTCTTCCCCCGACCACCCCCATCTGTTTTGCTTTTGAGACCGGGTCTTACTGTGTGGTCCAATGGCCTCCAACTCGGGTCCTTTTCCTCAGCTTCCTGCAGGCACATCCCCTTGTTGTTTTCTTAAAAAGATCTTAGAATTTTTTACATAGTGATCATGCTTACCTCTGAGTAATGTGGATATTAGGAACCATTACATTTACATTCAAATTTTAAAACAACCCTCATCTATAAAGGTGTCAATTATGTGATAGCATATTAGGTTAGAATGAGCCAGATCTTGAGGTATACCCATTGTGTGTGTGTGTGTGTAGCTGTTTTGCCTACACGCATGTCCACTCACTATGTGTACAGTTCCCTCAGAGGCCAGAAGAGGGCATCAGATATCCTTGGAACTGGAGTTACAGATAGCTATGGGTCTCCATGTGGGTGCTGGGAATTGAATCTGGGTCCTATGCAAGAGCAACTAATGCTCTTAACCTCTGAGCCATTTCTCCAGCTCTAATATTTAATGGTATAGTTTTAAATAGCTTATTAAAATAGGTGGGGTTTGATCCTGGGATGTGTGTGTGTGTGTGTGTGTGTGTGTGTGTGTGTGTGTGTTGCATTTTAATCTACATACACATGCACACAGAGAGAAGAGGAACTTCAGAAACAGAATAGATGGAACAGAATTCATAGCTATAAAGAGCGTTCATATTCAAAAAATAGAGAAAGAAAGGAACGAAAAGGACTTGGGAGCAAGAAATGGGAGGGAAACAGAAGGAAAATTGGCCCTGGCTTTCTCACTGTTTCTCATCCCTTTGCCTCAAGTCTTCCCTACAGTGTTCCAGAGCAGCTTTGTCCAGCATGAAGTCGTGGGAACGTATAGCCACCTGTTTACTGTCCAAGGCTCAGACTCCAGTTTGCAGCCCTACATGCTGATGGCTCATTTTGATGTGGTTCCTGCCCTTGAAGAAGGATGGGAGGTGCCCCCGTTCTCAGGCCTGGAGCGTGATGGCTTCATCTATGGCCGGGGCACACTGGACAACAAAAACTCTGTGATGGTCTGAAATGCTATGCTTAATACCTGACTTAATACCGAAGGTCACTCCAGGATGGGAGAATTTGGCTCGCTTTGGGAGAGAAAGGAGGTTATGGTTGAAAGAATTGGCTGAAGCTGGGCAGTGACGGCACATGCCTTTTCATCTCAGCACTAGGAAGGCAGAGATAGGCATGCCTCTCTGAGTTCAAGGCCAGCCTGTCCTATAGAGCAAGTTCTAGGACAGCCAGGACTACACAGAAAAACCCTGTCTCAAAAGAACAGGAAGGAAGGGAGGAAGGGAAAAGTGGCTGTAGGAGGCCTGAATGGTAGCTATCAGTTTTCTGGATCTTGACTTCTCAACTGTAGGAACTGGGGGTGGATAACCCACTATGGTTTAGGGACCATTGGTGGTAATAAATGCATACTTCTCTCGGGTGGCAAGGGTTTTCTACAGCTCTCTGGACCACCTGAAGTTGTTCTCTTTAAAGCCAGACTATCAGATCTTTGTCCCACCACCCCTGATGAATGAATCTGACACTCTACTTAGATAATGAGCCTTTCTCCTCTTCTGAATCCTAGGCAATCCTGCAGGCCTTGGAGCTTCTGTTGATCAGAAACTATAGCCCCAAAAGATCTTTCTTCATAGCTTTGGGCCACGATGAAGAGGTAAGCTGTCTACCCCGAACCTGTCTCGGGGCCCTCCTGGAGGTGGGGTGCTTTACCCTGAGCCAGTATGCCCATCAGCTGCAGGGGCTCCTTGAGATTCTGTAGCTGTTTGCTAGTTTCTCTGTGTGTCTGTGTGCCAGCATTAAACTTCCTGGTAATATCCAAGGCAAACAGAGAATCTGGCAATTCTACCCCAGGAAGCCTAAGTACAATAGAAAGAGAACTGATTGTTTCGTTCTCGATGATGCCACCTGCTTTCACCCTTGCCCAACCCTTCACTCTCTAGATCCCAGTGCCTTCATTTGTGAAATTAGTGGGACCCAGAGGGACTTGGACACTAGACAATTATGCGAAACAGAACTATCTCAGGCACTGCCTCATAAAAAGACAAGGTTCTGGAGTGACAAGCTGAGTCTACATTTGCTGTCTCTGTTTCTGGCTAAGAAAGACTGTAGCTTTGGGTTCTCTGTCTACAGGTGTCGGGGAAAAATGGCGCTACAAAGATTTCAGCACTCCTACAGGCTAGGGGTGTTCAGCTGGCCTTCCTTGTGGACGAAGGGAGCTTTATCTTGGAAGATTTTATTCCGAACATCAAGAAGCCCTTTGCCATGTAAGTGAAGCACCCCACCTTCCACCCTGAAATAGTTATCATCCACTTGAGATTTCCCAGCCTGCCACCTGTAAGCCACACTTAGATATTGTTGCATCATTCCCCCTCATTCTCAACATGGCCTGGGCTCCCCCTCATGCCCTTCCACTAGTGTTGAACTTTTCAAAACAGCATGAAGCTAGCCTCCCAGACCAGACCGCCAGACCATCATACAGATGAGCCTGTGGGTCTACAGGAATAGTTTAGTGGGGAAGCAGTCTGAAGATTCATCTCTGATCCTCTCCCACAGGATTTCGGTCTCAGAGAAGGGTGCCCTTGATCTCATGCTGCAAGTAAACATGACTCCGAGCCACTCTTCAGCTCCCCCAAAGGAGACAAGCATTGGCATCCTTTCTGCCGCTGTCAGCCGGTAAGCAGCTCCTGGCTTCGCTCCCAGACTGCCTTGGATGGAAGACCTGGCACTCGCCCACTTTGAGACTGAAGAGCTGGCCTGCCTGTGCTTCCTGCCATAAAACTGGCCTGAGGAGCAGAGGTGCAGGCAGCAGGAGGGACAAAGCCACCAATACCACGAACAGGACTGGGATCAAAAGATATTATCAGGCCAGCTAGAGGGCATGCAGGAGCCAGTAGACAAAAGTCAAGCCAGAGAGCTGGGTAGCCCAGAGCTCAGCCAAGCAGTTAGAATTACAAGTTGGCAGTGACTAGTAAAGCTGTCTAAATTCTCCTGCTGCTCTGGCAGGAGGACAAAGATAAATAAGGGGCCCTGGCTGTGGATAAAGACCAAGGTTTGCAAGAACAACACTTACCTGTGTCTAGGTTCTCTTAGCAAAGTAAAAAGAAAGTGTGCTGGCTAGTTTTGTCAACTTGACACAAGCTAGAGTCACTGGAGAGGAAGAAGCCTCAACTGAGGAAATACCTCTATAAGATAGGGCTGTGGCCGAGCGTTGGTGGCGCACGCCTTTAATCCCAGCACTCGGGAGGCAGAGGCAGGCAGATCTTTGTGAGTTCGAGGCCAGCCTGGTCTCCAGTTCCAGTGCCAGGATAGGCTCCAAAGCTACACAGAGAAACCCTGTTTCAAAAAACCAAAAGAAAAAAAAAGATAGGGCTGTGGGCAAGCCTGTGGGGGTATTTTCTTAATTAGTGGTTGATGTGAGAGGGCCCAGCCCATTGTTGGTGGGGCCATCACTGGGCTGGTGGTCCTCAGTGCTATAAATCAGGCTGAGCAAGCCATGGGGAACAAGCCAGTAAGCAGCACCCCTCCATGGTCTCTGCATCAGTTCCTGACTCCAGGTTCCTGCCTTGTTTGAGTTCCTGTCCTGACTTCCTTTAGTGATAGACAGTGATGTGGAAGTGTAAATCAAGTTAACTTTTTCCTCCCCAAGTTGCTTTTGGTCATTGTGTTTTCATCATAGCAATGGTAACACTGACTAGGACCGAGAGCTACTTTGTGTCGGGGAATACAGTAAAAATTGAGATGGCCCCTGCCCTAAGGAAGTCCCAATTGGTACTGGCAGTCCTGCCACACCATGAGAGTGGACACAGGGTGAGAGAGGGGCAGAGCAAGAGACAGGCATGTGTGGCCAGGGAAGGCTCCTGCTGATGCTCTGGCTCTTCAGCTGGAGCTGGTGGAGGTGGCAGGCCGGTGGATGGCTGAGCAGGCTTGTTGAGACTTTCATCCATCTCCCTTATCTTGAGGATACTGATCTTGGTCTGGGAGAGGCCTGGTCTTGAGAACTCTGTTTCTCTTCCAGACTGGAGCAGACACCAATGCCGAACATGTTTGGAAGGGGGCCACTGAAGAAGGCATTGAAGCTACTGGCAAAGGAGGTGTGTGAGGAACGTTCTGTGCACCTGACCAGCTTGGGAAGAGGAGCAGAAAGTGGGTGGAGAAGGAGCTGTAGAGTAATGAAAGGGCTACTAGGCCACTCAGGTCTCTGCCCATTCTCACCTAATCCCAGCCAATACTGAACCAAGAAGGAGCGTGTTGTCTAAAGCTGATAGGACTTACCCAAGGCCCTGCAGCCTAACGTGCCCGGGTCCCCTTGAAACCTGTTTCTCACTCATCCTTGTGACTGCTGAGCAATTGCTCCAGATAGTCAGATATGCCCATCCAGGTAGAAACAGCCTCACTCCAGCAGAGACTGAGTCAGCGGATAGGGCAGGGGGACTTGAGCACTGAGTCTCAAGGAAAGAGACTCAAGCCTCAGCTACAGTGACCCTGTTATGCTGACCCTTCCCTCCTGCTGACCTTGTTCCTTCTCTTTCAGTTTCCCTTCCCTGCCAATATAGTCTTGAGCAACCTGTGGCTATTTCGGCCCATTGTAAGCAGGTAACATGTTATGTTTCCTCCTCTAAATCTCCCTCCCCAGATACCTGCCTCCTCCCCATTTCTTGGCTTACCTGGCCTGACTAGTCATCCCTCAGCCATAGATACTTCATGTTATAATATATAGGCTGATTTCTCTCTCAGCCTTAAAGATCTCCAAGGTTTAGGACATAGAGTGAAATTCCAAACCTTCTTCCTGATGTCTAACCGTAGTCTTTTTGCTTTATTTAGGCTAATGGAGAGGAATCACATAACCAATGCACTGGTCAGAACCACCACAGCCCTCACCCTATTCAAGGCAGGAATCAAGGTAACATCATCCAGTTCCTTCAGCTACACTTGCACCTCCATCCCTTGAATTTATATATGGGCTTTCCCTTCCTTTTGTGGCTACAGTAATGGAAGGGCCGGTGTTGTCCCATGTCACTGTTCTGTCATCATTTGGTAAGCCGCAAAAGCGAAGGCTGCAGAGAAGGTCTACAGCCCATTGAGAGTGTGGTCACATCCATCTGTGTGTGTGTAGAGGGGCACCAGTTATTGAATTCCACATGTTTTATATTTTCCTAGCTCTTTGGTCATACAGACTAAAACCTTTTAAAGGTGAATGAACACCACCACACCTGGCCCCAAGCTTGATAGAAGTGATGCCTCCATATTTACTCCTGGCATAACAAACCTGAACCAACCCATATTATCTTCACCAGCTGCTGTCAAATAGTCACACATGCCCAACTATTGCTTGATCGCCAACATATTGTGCTCTTGCATTTGACCGGTGGTTTTCTCTCCATGGAGGTGGGGGAATACTCCATTTGATTCTTCTAGAACTACACATTGTTCCAACTGCCAGCTGGAAAAGCAGAGGTGCAGTGAAGTAGCAGCTACTCAGAAATCACACTGCCAGTTTGCAATACCCAGCATGTTACTGTACCTGGTGCTTCTTGGTATCTTGGCAGTTCAAAGAAAGATAAAGAGAATCTCACGATGTCAAGGAAATATCCCTCTATAGCCTCTCCTCTCCAGCTATTCATAGGTTCAGACAAAAAAAATAGGTGTATTTTATACCCAGACATACAAAAACAACCACCACCACCATCCCTTCAGGGATTAGACACACTGTACTATGGAGGAGACCCTTGAGAACCCTAGGTGTTCCACCACAAGTAAGCACCAGTATTAACAGAAATGGCCAGGGTGTCCTGGGAACATGCACACAGAAGACTCCTGATGGCACAGCACAGAGTTGTCTGGGCAGTCACAGGGCAAGCAATCCTGTTCTGAACTGCTCTATGAGCCCTCTGGGACCAAGAAGCACAAAGAGCTTGCCTAAAGCAGAGACCCTAAAAGTGAATATAACAGCAGATTGAGGGCCACGAGAAGACAAGGACAGACTCTGGATTAAGCCCTGGCTCCTTAAGCCAGAGCAGTTGCTTCTCCTCCTCCTGGGTGGTGGTTGGTGTCTCCTGGGCAGGGGCCAGCTCTGGAAGACACAAGGAGGGTTCAGGCCAGGTTTCTGGTTCTCTGTCTAGGTGAATGTCATCCCCCCATTGGCTCAGGCTACAATCAACTTCCGAATTCACCCTTCGCAGACAGTACATGAGGTATGTACTCATGTTCCAAAGAGCAGGTGGGTCCCATCAGGAAGTGGGACCCTCGATACCTGAGGTTGTTTTGTCTTGTTTTCTAAAAGCCCCTATGCACCAACTGCATAGGATAGGAGACATCTGGTTTGGGGAAACTTGAAGTCTAAGGCTGAGACACAAAGACAAATGATGTGATGGTCGTAAATCTTTCTAGTGGGCTTGCTGTGTGCTTGGCACCATTCTGCTGTATACAGATGCATGCACTCACTCATTAGCACTCACACTGCCCAGTAAGGTAGGATCTCTGCTGTCTTCACTCTCCTAAGGAAAGCTGGGGTGCAGAGCAACTAGGAAGTATGCCCGTGAGAACATAGCCAATGGTCTTGCTCCGGGGCTGCTGCTTTCTGCAACCCTTTACTGCTGCCATAATAATCCGGGGTGAACAGTCTCCCACAGGACACACTGCAAAGCCATCTAGAAGATCAAAACAGTCCTTTCTTTTGTTTTTGTTTTTTTTTTGGGGGGGGGTTCGAGACGGGGTTGCTTTGTGTAGCTTTGGAGGCTATCCTGGCACTTACTCTGGAGACCAGGCTGGCTGGCCTTGAACTCACAGAGATCTGCCTGCCTCTGCCTCCCAAGTGCTGGGATTAAAAGGGTGTGCAACCAATGCCTGACAAAACAGCCCTTTCTTACTAATAGAAATTTGAACTGGGTGTTAAAGGACCATTAAGATGATGCTAAGAATAGGATGTTAAGAGTATCACCGGGTGTTGGTGGCGCATACCTTTAATCCCAGCACTCGGGAAGCAGAGGCAGGCAGATCTCTGTGAGTTCGAGGCCAGCCTGGTCTCCAGAGCTAGTGCCAGGATAGGCTCCAAAGCTACACAGAGAAACCCTGTCTCGAAAAACCAAAAAAAAAAAAAAAAAAAAAAAAAAAAGAGTAGGATAAATGAGAAAGGGGAAGTTTGAAACTAGCCTAGGCTAGAGACCTTACCTCAAAAACAACAGCAGCACATGTGAGCAACACTAAGTGAACTGGTTGCATATGTGTGTGTTGGAGGTATGTGGGGGTGGAGGTGGGGTGAGTGTGTAATACAATAACAGTTAAGGAATAAGAGGCCATAAATTTGAGAAAGAGTGGGGGGTATGGAAGGAGTTAGAGGGTGAATGATATAAAAGATATAAACTCATGAAATTCTCAGTAACAACAAAACGAGTAGATCAATGGAAAGCCAAATATGAGCTGGAGAAATGGCTCATTGGAATAGTGCTTGCCATGTAAGCCTGAGAGCCTCCGTTTGGATTCCCAGCACCCACAGAAAAGCCAGGTAATCAGTGCATCTCTTAACCCAGCCCTTGGGGAACAGAGCTAGGATCCTTGGAGCTTGCTGTCTACCCAGTCAATCTAGCTGAATTGGCGAGACCTAAGTTCAGACTCTGTCCTAAAAACATAAGGTGGACTAGGATGTGAAGGTGCATGTTTTTAACCCCAGTGCTTGGGAGACAGGCAGGTGAGTTCAAGGCCAGCCTGGTCCATATAACAAGATCCAAGCCAGATGTCTTAGTGTTCTGTTGCTGTGAAGAAACGCCATGACCTTAGCAACTCTTATAAAAAGAAAGCATTTCACTGGGGGCTTGCTTTCAGTTTCAGAGGCTTAGTCCATTCTCAACATGGCAGGGAGCATGGCAGCACATAGGCAAACATGGTGCTGGAAAGGTAGCTGAGAGTTCTACACCTGGACCCTAAGGCAGCAGGAGGAGAGAGACACTAGGCCTGGCTTGGACTTTTGAAACCTCAAAGCCCATCCCCAGTGGCATACCTCCTCCAACAGGGTCACCTCTCCTAATCCTTCTATGTAGTTCAACTCCCTGATGGCAAACATTGAAACATATGAGCCTATGAGGACCATTCTTCAAACAACCACACAAGGCAAAGCTATATCGTGAGATCTTATCTCAAAAATAAAATAAAAAGTAAGGCAGAGAACAATAGAGAAAGACACCCAACATTCACCTCTGATCTGTGTAACACACACACACACACACACACACACACACACACTCTCTACACACACTCTCTCTCTTTCTCTCAAAATGACAATAGCAACAACAAAAAAGAAAACACCAAGAGGGCAAACCAGCAGCTGGTTAATACATTCTAGAATACAGTAGGGACTCTTGCCCATAGCCTGAAGGGTCAGACACACCTGTTTTCAAGAGTTCTTCTGATGTAAATTTCATCTGTCCCTGTGTTGGGAGGGGATACACTCATTATAGACTCAGAAGTGGGTTAACAGCCTGCCTGGCCTGGGGAAAGGCCTGAGTACAGTGCGAATCCCTGATTCAGCTGCTTTTCATCAGATACCAACCTTGTTCTCTCCCTGGAGGCTCATAGGATCAGGAAATCACTGAATTTAATCAGCTGAGCTTTCCACCTGTTTTTTTTTTTTTCCAACACATTCCAGCTCCATCCTTTTCCAAAGTCTGTTTTCCACCCATTAGGGCTTTCATCTCCCTGATCCTGGCACTGTCCCCTCCTAACCACAGGGCCTTCCCTCCTGGTCTATCTGATGACACTTCTGGAATCCCCTGGACTCAGCCTGGCCACCTGCCCGATGAGGGATGGAAAATCTCCATCCTTTAGAAAGCTCAGAGGGACCCATTTGTCCTGGTCACTCCTCTTTCTTGTCCAGAGGCCACAAGCTCAGAGCTTCATGCTGGGTCCAGTGGGAACACCTGTGGGCACCACAGTTCTCTAAAGTATCTAGAATTTCAGGCCTGTACCCCTGGGCCCAGCTAGATATTCTTCTAAGTACTTGGGATAGTGGTGAGCCAGAAAGACAAGATTCCTATTCTAATGGTACTTGTGGTCCAGTGAGAAGGGACAGCAGCAAGCAAGCAATCAAATGAATGGACAATGTCGCATAGGCGGTAAAGACTGTAAAGATAATTGGCTGCCATGTCACACAGTGATTGTGAAGTGGCAGTGGGGACATAAGCAGAGTTAAATACAGGGACAGTGAAGTATTACCTGGGTGTATTGACATGACTTTTTTTTTGGGGGGGGGACTGGTGGTGGTGGTTAAGACAGGGTTTCTCAGTAGCATAGCCTTGGCTGTCCTGGAACTCGCTCTGTAGACCAGGCTGGCCTCAAACTCACAGAGATCCACCTGCCTCTGCTTCCCAAGTGCTGGGATTAAAGGCGTGCGCCACCACCGCCTGTCAACATGCCAATTTTTTTTTTTTTAAGGCAAGGTCTCACTATGTAGCCCCCACTGCTTGGAACTCACTGTAGATCAGGCTGGCCTTAGACTCACAGATCCTCCAGCCTCTGCCTCTGCTGGAATTGAAGCTATGCTCAACCACACCCAGCCAGGAGAGGCCTTTATCCCTGCCCTCAGGAGGTTGATACAAGATAGTAGGTTACAGGCCACTCTGGTTACAGTAATTTTTTCTCTGTTTGTAATAAAGGCACACGCCCCCTCAGCAATAATTAGAGGTACAATAATGGGACTAGAAGGAGAGACTACCAATGGGGAGAGAGACCTCCAAGGTTTCTATAGAACATCTACAGTCCTGGTACATTTCCACAGTCTGGTTTTCTCTTTTATGTGTAGCAGTATTCTCCTTTCATATGAGTGTCATGTTTGCTGACAGTGAGAACATTGGCTATTTAAAACTTGGTCAGCTCTTTGTGGTTGTGAGTCCACTTTCCATCCAGCTCTATGGGCTACTTACTGGAAGACCCGTGACAGGCCGTAACTCAATATATACAGTCCCATTTTTTTAGCATCCTGATTATGAATATCTTCCTTATGAATCTGAGGCATGGCTTCCTGTAAGGCCTAACCCCATTCCCTTCTTCCATACTGTACATACTGCACTGAATAGAACATGCTAGACAACGTCATAAGCACTGAGAAGAATCTCAGCTCCTGGTAACAGAGACACAAACAGGCACAGAGGTCAGAGGGCTTGCCCAAAGTCACACCACTGTGAGGAATTATCTGGAGCACAACAATGTTGTCATGCCTCACTTTTTTTAACCCATGCCTCTCCACCTTAGGAATATCTGGTTTCCTTCTCTGTCAGTACCAAATCCTCTCCAACACCAAACTGCACACCTAAGATGAATGCTTTTCTGAGCTGCATCTTCTCTTCTGGTTGTACCCAGGACTCAGTAAAGTACTGTCCTTAGGTGATCAGACAGACACTCAGGCCAGCACTCCTGACTGTATACAATGGGCAAGGTACCTAGGGGAATAATGCCTGTTATTGTTTTTTATTGGTTCTTGTCTTTTAAAGCTCAAGTAGCCAACATTTATTACTTTTTTACTTGCTCAATGCTATAGGTAAGGGAATGAGGCTGACAGTCCCTGCCTTTGAATCAGGCCCCGGCCTCTCACTATAAGGAGCCAGTTGTCATATCTTCTTCAGTTTCCAGATGCATAAATCTCTGGAGTAACTAAAGCAAGAAACAGCAGGCACAATCCCAATCTGCTACACAGGTGATAACTTAAGTGTCTTTCCCTGGGTAAAACAATGTGTGAAGACTATATATACTTTTATTAAGTTACTGGGGCTTGAACCTAGGGCCTTATGCGTGGTAGGCAAGCATTCTGCCATTGAGCTATACCCACAGTGAATTTGGTATTGATTGAGAGCATTGGGGGTACTAGTGCTGGGGTTCTTATAACCCTCATCCACTCCCTGAAGGACATTCACTTTGATCCTGAGGAGTTTCTAAGCTAGAAGTGGGAGCCTTCACTGCCCTTCCCGAAAATGAGTACTCCAAATAATGCCCCCATTCGGGTGATTGCCAGCTGTGAGACACGGCCCTTCCTAGGGCAGAAGCAGCTTCAAACTAACCACTGGTCAAATGGTTGATATTGAGCTTTTCCTTGTGAAGCTGACTGGGTTTGGGGGACCACTGTAAAGTTCCTGGTCTGTTCTCTCAAGACCTGAGCCGCCAGGTCTGGTCTGCATCCTTCCTGGGACCAGGAATTTCATTGGATCCCCCCTAGTCACCCCAGGCTCGATTTTCTGGGAATTTCCTCATGGTCTTTCTCAATAAAAAGAGGCAAAGGGAAACCCCCAGCCACAGCACCACACTCCTCCTGATTTTGCATGCATGTTGAGCTCATCTTTCCGGCTCACTGTATTTGGTTACAAATAGGCAGCAGCTCAAGAGAGGAAAAAGAAAACTGTGTGGTAAAGTGTTTTGCAACCTGTGTCACCAGCCCCCAAGGCTCTCAGGTTGGAACAGGATCATCCAGTTGAGATTGGGCTGAGATTCTCATCCTGGTATCTCTTTTACTTTACCTAA